ACCCCCTCCACATCCCCATCCCCTGTTTCCTAGATTTTCCCAAATTCCTACCACTTTTTCCAGTTTTTTTCCGGCATTTCTCGAAAAATTCCCAGTTTTTCCTCAACTTTGCTGTCGAGCGAGGGAGGGGAGGGCGTCCGTGAAACAAGAGAAATCAACTATCAAAAAATTTTCTCAGACCAAATACGACCCCCTCCCTCGCGGTCAAATACGACCCCTCCCCTTGTGATTATCACAACGATGGCGTGCCCTGTTCAAAATGACTCTATTGGAAAGAATTCCTGATACGCCCCTTCGAAGTGTAATGACGCCCCTTCACAGTGTAATGCGATTAGTGGTAAGGGAGCAGAGGAGGTGGCAAAGTAAGCCACGATGACGTTGCCAATGACATCCCTGTCCACAAACACTGGCCTAGCCTGCTTTATAAAAATCTAGCAAAAGATAATACTGCTTATCATCACTTATTATCCAAACTTACCATTTTCTTAGTTCTTACATACGGTTTGAATTCTCCAGAGTGAAGTTCTAAGTCGTGCGCTTTGCGACTGCCTTTTCTCTGCTTTGATTTTCCTTTTCGCAACTTCTTGAACTGAAATCAGCTTTTTTTACACAGTAGACTGACATCACGAAACCGTCAACGTTACAAGTAGCGCAAAAAATAGGGCGGCGCTTTTTGAGACAGCGTTCATACTCTGCGTCAGCGTACGGCAGTTTTCGCGGGCAGTTTTGCTCAAGTCAGGGCGCATCGTTGTTGGGGAATCCCCAATAGGGGGTCGTATTTGGCCGCCAGGAGGGGGGGGGTCGTACCAACCCCAGAAAAAGGGGGGGGGGGGTCGTACAGACTCGACTAAAATCCCCAACCAATGATGTGCCCTGGTTCAAGTTCAAATTGCCCGCGAAAACGCTGCTGTGCTGTAGACGCTGACGTCCACAGATCGATATCCATAATTCGCAGTAGTTGGTGTTGGCGTACGCTCGAAACGCTGCCGTACGCTGACGCAAAGTATAAATGCACCCTAGTGTTCCTCTGGAAGCAAAGGAAGAAAAGTCGAAAAACCACCTAATTAGTTTGGAACACGAGGAGTTCGCTAGGAGTGAATGACGCTCATGGGGGGTGGTGCCGCGACACAACATGGATTTCTTCTCCCGCATCCAAAAGCCGCAACTTCTTCCTCACCCCATGGAATATATGCATAAATGGCAGAATTCAATTTTTTGGCACAAAATCGACGTTTTGCTCTTGTCGATGTCAAAAAAGCACCCCTAATCGAGCTGTTTTACGGGATAGGGTTATGGCAAGAGGCGGAGCCGCATGAAGTTCGGGACCCACTTGCACCCTTCCTAGGGCGACTTCACAACACCCTCTGCGGTTACGCAACATGAGCTTTTCCAGTGGTCTTACCGTGACAAATACGCAGACAAACAAAGGACAGTGACAGTAGCAGAGCGCTGTTGAAAAACGCAATGATCTTACAAAATGATGGGAGTTTTAAGGTGCGCGGAGGCGCTTCGGTTGCGGGCGATTTCTCCTGTGAGCTATATCGCAGGAAAGCCATATATGAGCAAGGTCGCCCCGACAAATGAATGACATGGAAAGAAAGAGAGGGCAAGCAGCAGAAAAATGATGTGATTCAAGCGATGGCGCGTAGTTTGTCTTGGAGTGGGGCATTTTTCTGTACATCGTACTACTGTGCCGATCGTCTCCTGTGGTGGTTTCTTTAAATTCTGTGTAAGCTTTGCAATGCAATTAGCATGAGTTCGTGTTTACACTTCAAAAGGCTACAACCCTCACGGGGTTGAGCACGCGTAATTCAGAAGGACTTTGGCAAAAGAAAACTGGCGGAGAGAAAGAACCAACGGTGCCCCCACCCCGTTCTAACCCGACCGGCGCAGGATCGAATCCAAGAAGTCCGTAAATGGGACGGGGCCAATAATAGATATATGAGAGCAACAAGAGGCGTGGCTGCGAGGGTCCAGACGGAAGAGACGCAGAGACATGCATTAGGACAAAGGAAAACAGAAACGTCCTCGTTTCGCCCTCTGATTGGGACAATAGCCAACCTCACAAAAAAAAAACAAGCCAAAGTAGATAATGTCAGCCCCTATGTCGAACATTGCCGGATCAAATTCGAACAGACCATGAAGCGGACGGGGGGCTCATGTGGGTCTAGCTTGGGACTCATAAGTGGCGTAGTGATGTGCTGGCAATTTCTTTAGCAAGCTTTTACTCCTTCAAATCTTAATCTGCCTTTCGATAGATAATAGCGCTAACACAAAAAAAAGAAAAGAAAAAAAAAAAAGGTGGTGCTCCAATTCGATAATGAACATCTAGCTACAACTAGCCGTCGGTTCTATTTGAGGGCAGATGTTCACGTTTCTGGTCGTTTGGGTCGCGAAATCATTTTAACAATATTGGCCTTCCTCTGTGTACAGGGCCCCTCATCCTTTCGCATTTCGGAAATGGTAGGATGCTACTGTTGATAACGCGGGGCAAAGAAGGGACTGTCTCCGTCGTGAGACCAAAGCAGAATGTGTCTCCTGTATCTGAAGCATGGCAATTCCAATAACGTACCTCTTTCGAGTTTTTCCTGGCGCTTTTACCTCTGAAAGGTTTGACTATGTCCGTGTTATCACTCGATGCGAAAAGCTTAAAAGAAAGATACAGTCGTGATCTTTGCAAAGGAGCGGGCGCATGCTGGGAGTGGAATGGAGTGCCGCCGTGGTGGTCTTTCCACCAATGATATCATCCTGAGTCCGCAACGACTGGTGGGAAAAGATGTTGCGACAGCGCTCCAATACACACCCCTTCATACGCCCTGTCATTTGCTGGGACTATATACAACATGAAGGCCATTAAAAATACAATGAAAGAAACCTGCAGGGGAACTGGGAACCCTTTGCCGTCCGCATCGTCTGTGTCTGAGTTCAAAGTGAGTGCCCTAAAATCTTATATTTATAGGCAAAATTACAAGAAATGAACAGGATTTTAAGGCGCACTTCTTGTATGATTCTTCGCCTTCTGTGACCTTTGTGATGTTCTGTAGTATCCAATCGAGAGCCTTCAGGGTATCTGCAGAAAGGTCCTGGAACTGAATTTTTCTTAGGGACGTCTTCACCTGTACGCGCGAGTGTGTGAAGGCAGCCCATAGGGGGTTATAAAGGACTAGACTAACAGGCCAATGGTGGGATTTGCGAGTCGACGCCGGTTTTACGCGCAGAAATCAACCAGCATTTCCTGGCTAGTTCTTGACGTTTTGTACTATTTTGGCGCCAAATCAACTAAGTCATGGAGCGAATTGCGCGCACGCGATGCCATTTCCGATCCCCCTTTCGCAGCAACATGAATCTCCTTCTTCGCACCTCAACTCAACGCGACTGAATGATTTTGAATATAGCTTACTGGCATGGAGAGTCCGACTACTTCTCTGCAGTACACTACGCTAGAAGGGGTGCTTCTACCGGCTATTAACATCTTACCCTGGTAAGATCTGTGGACTCTTGTCAAGTGTAAGCGAAGCTTCACAGCTTTGCAGGAATTTAGGTCTCCACAAGAGGCATTGTCGGTGAGTAATGGAACCAGCAAACTGCCCCCACCAAGCCGAGCTACACCTACCAGGGACTTGAGAGAGGCTAATTGAAGACGTTCACCATACGTTTCCTCATGTTCAGCTCCCTAGACGACGAAGAAAATCGGTACTGACCTGAGGTGGTGGTCGTTTCTCAACAATGTCTGGAACTTTAGTAACTGCACCTTCGTGAATAAATCGTTTTGCGTCGAACGACTTTCGCATTGTGACTCCAGTGAGACCGAAACCTAGAGAAAAGCACGAAGGTGCAGTTACTAAAGTTCCAGACATTGTTGAGAAACGACCACCACCTCAGGTCA